TAGAATCAAAAAAAATATTACCTAATTCGGACACCCGAGTCAAAAGTTTTGGACTTCCAAAGTTTTACGGTCAAACTGTTGACTTTTGTGCCACGTGGCAGCACCTGGTGAAACACGCCCCAATAGGGCATGTCTCTCTCCTCTGTCACACCCAAATGGGGCGTGTCTCTCTCCTCGGTCATGCCCAAATGAGGCGTGTCTCTCTCCAACCTGGTCACGCCCCACATGGGCGTGTCTCTCCCCATTGGAACACGCCCCATGTGGGCGTGTTTGACTGCTATATTTTCGTAATTAATTTCAAAACGACTATTTTTTTGTAATTTTTTATTACAGAAACAATAAATTAATTTTTTTGCCATCATAAATGAACGTCGCCTGCAAAAGTATTTTTTTAAAACCTTGCTTATTCTGGGTTGATTTTGCTGGGTCACTGATCTCTTTGATGATTTAGATTAGTAGTTAGATTTTACTTACAATTGACTGCTCTAATCCTCAAAACCCCAAGTTGAACCCGTGACTCCCAGATCTCTGCACTTTTTTTAAAAAAAAATATTATACACGAAATAACATCGTTTGATAGGTAAAAATAATAAAAAACAAAACAAAAACTCCTTAATCCGATGATCTTCTCTACTGTGCTGGTTCTTCTTTTTTGACTGTTAATTTATCGTGTCGCCGCCTCTCCTCCGCTATTCTCTATTGGGTAAGAGATCTCCTTTCACATACTGTTATAGGTGCATGAGAAGGACAAGAAGAGCCTGATATAACTTTTCATTAACTCCATTGAAATATGTGTTCTATACTCTGATGGTTTGATACTTTGATTAGCTTGTGAATATTGACTTATGGATGTAATTGGTTGAATTTAAGTATATTTTGAATCTTTAACGATTGGTGGTTTGATTTTTTTGAATTTTTCATATAAAATCGAGTAAGTGAAGTAACCCAATAAACCCCCAATTGAACTCGTGACCCTTGACATCAGTCGAGTCGATGGTTAGGTCGGATCTTTAAACAAGGCTGGAAAGTGCAAATTAAAATTATTAATATAATGAGAAATGCATATATTGATAATAGTCAACAGAGAATAATTTTTGGTTAGATAAATCTGAAAACATATTAGACTTCCTATAAAACAAAAAAATATTTGTTTGATTGTGTTTTTTTTTATTAAAACTATTATGCAGAGTAATCAATGGAACGAATGGTTTTTATGTTTTCTTTGTTTTGAAAATTAAAATTCAAAACATAAAACACAAACAACCAAAACATATTTTCTAAAATTGATTTAAAACTAAAAAATAATTATAGTTTTTAAAATTATTTTTACAAAATAGATATTATTAAATAATTTTTTATTTTTTTATTCTAAAAATTTAAAAATTATTTTTGAAAATGAAATCTACGCTCAAATTCCGAGTATGATGTATAACAAATAATAAGGCAGGAACTTCGAGACTGTAACTAGATTCTGCATGATGTTCAATTAGGCATGCATGGACATTGACATCATGCCGCAAAATAACCATAAGAAAATACAAATAAAATAATGAAAATTTTGCATTTGATTTCAACAAAATCTTTTTAAAAAAAATCGAGAAAAATCAAAACGAATCATAACTAATTATTGAATAGATTGATTACGTGAGAAGATTTCCGAATGCAAGGAAAGGTCAGTTAGCAAATTGATTTGTATTAATTAAATTTTCTTACTTAATAACCACTTATCTTATTATACATGAGCCATAATTTATGGAATCTGTTCGGTTGGGATAGACCGTAAATGTTCGCCGATATTTAAGAGAGAAATACCACAAAGGGTGTATGGATTATTGTGAAATAAATGGTACGGAGTTAACCAATACATGACGTATGTTCACAATGATAACAGAAATAAAAATAAGCCAAAATTGTGTGCCTTGTTCCTTTGCTTTTATTTATAGTGCTTACGTTATTGGATTGGACCTTAGCTACCTTCGGGTTGTTATCAAGGCTGATTTGGTCGTTTGGATGAGGCTCTCCTTGTGATCAAGTTGTTAGAGGTTTCAATGGTAAAAGACAGAGCTTTCCTTTTAAAACACTCTAGCTCCTTAAAACTTAGACACTTTCTCTTCTCAACAATATAAGTTTCATTTTAGATGGAAAAATTTTTATCTAAATTTAAGTGTTTTTTTTTTGGTATAAACAAATAATCTATCCCCCCTTCGAGGAGAGAGGCATGTCAAATTTGTTTGAGACAGGGTTTGAACCCCTAACCTAAGCAAATCCTTAGAAGCTCAGTTGCCAACTGAGCTACCCTTGGAGGTCTTGGAGGTTAGTTGATAAAAATTGACTATTTCATAAAACTAATCGGGTTCAAGTATAGAGTAGATATCAATATTGTTAGGCACAGTGGTGGGCCCAAGAAATTTTATTTATGTGTTCATATTTAGTCTGAATATTTAGTGGAGGGGGTATTGCCCCCTGAAAAAAAAAATTAAACAAAGTTTTAAATGTCTTACAAAATAAAAGAATATAAACAAAAAAGGGTTTATATCTCTCATATTATATAAACCAAATTTTTTGTCATGTTAAGAAAAAGACAAGACCAATTCATTGAATAATGTGTCATCTTACTTTCTTTTTGGTATCATCATCTTACTTTCTTTAATATTATATAACTTGTCTTTTTCTTAACATGACAAAAATTTCGCTCATATGATATAAGAGATATAATCCTCAAACAACAAAAGAAAAGAAAACTTCGACTTAACATAAAAAAATAGTAATCAACTTAATGATATAAAACCAGTAAAACATAAGCAGTAAATAAGATGTGTTTCTTTCTTAGTACCTATGCTTATATTCCTGGCAATGCATTCACTAAAATTGCTCCTCGAGTGACATTCCTAATTAATTAAAAAATAGGTTCGTTTTTTCTACAGTCAATGTAGATAACTTATCTATATTGAGCCCAAAACGACGTCGTTTTGAAGCAAAAATCAAGGTATTTTTATAATTATAATTTATTTCAGGGTTATAATAGTCTTTTTTATTATAATTTTTTAATTTTTCAACACAAAATGACGTCGTTTTGGGAGCGAATGTAGATAACTTATCTACATTCACTTTAGAAACATTAAAGTCTTAAAAAATATCTTTTTTTTTTTTTAAAAAAATGTATGACCAAATGTATGTGTGCACTTGCACACATTGGCAACCAAATAGGTTTGCCAATAGTTAGGCACCATATGATTAAGTTTCAGCCCAAAAGAATTCTATTTTGTAATTTTAATTATGGGTTTATCGTTTTTTCTGCCACAAATTATCTCCAACAACTCCAAAATTACATCATTTTAAGTATTGTAAGAATTAATGAATGATGTGTTGGTGAAACTCATATAACAAAATAATAAATAAAATTTCTAAAATATCCTTTATTAATTTTCTCATCCCCAAAACAACATAATTTTAGAATTCTTGATGATAACTTGATCTTGTAACAGGAGAAATATTTTTTCCTTTAATTATATTAGATTCTTATAAAAAAACTTCCTATCTAAATAGTTTTCATATAATATTATTAGATTGATTTGGTTTAAAATATAAATTCGGTCCAAACCATTTATCTCGATTAGAATTAGATTAGTTTTTCATCAAAATATATCAAGTATGTCTAAACTAATTCACTAAAACAAGCTAAATACAAGCTCAAACAAGGATGCGCGATATACTCGGTATCCGGAAGCAAGACTATTGCTGGCCAGGAACCTGGATTCTAGACACGCTATGACTCGGGTCATGAATGATTTGAGGATATCAAGCCCTCCACGAGGGGTTATCGAGCAGAGAAACGACAAGAGATGTCGGCTCAGGAAGTCGAGGGCAGACTTATAATGTGAGTCGCAGCTGAAATAGAAGACCCAAAGGCACTATAAATAAGGCAACCCAGAATGAATAACCCGACATAATGGAAAGAAGAAGTAATTTGGAGGCCAGAAATCACAGAGGTGGTCATGTGGATGATAGAGTTGAAAATACTTGTTCATAGGGATGGTGGTGCACGTCAGACATATGAGAATATGCCATGTGGAAAGCAGTTATCATTGCTTGGAAGAAATAACGTCTCAAGTAGCAGATAAAAAGTAAAGCAGAGGTAATATACATATATCTTGGCTACAAAGGATAATAGAGGAGGAACAAAATGTTCCCATGTCTTTCAAGTGTTCTATAAGGGTTGAGAGCCTAATGCCATATTTAGGTCTCAGCTCAAATTCTACCCTTGGGTCAGCAATGTTTAAAAATTGATCATCCTGAATTTAGGATAAGATATACAAATGCATAAATAGAGTCCCGCAGCTAATAAGGTGGAGGAAAAAGCCCGACTAAAAGAGTTTCTATTCCTGAATAAAACCAAGAGTTAAATAGAGAAAATTAATGAATACATGCACCCTGGTAGCTTGGATAACCAAGCTGCCCGGCTGTGGGGCAACTGTTATGGACCTGCATGAGGCCCATATGTTCAGATGGCCCCCCAAAAGGTGAATACTTGACAGCTAAACATGGAGACAGTCGGGCCCATGAAGCAAGGGATCCAGGTTATTCAAACCCTAAAGGTAAACTCTATAAATAGGAGATAAAGACCACATGTATGGACTAATCTCGCTCTTATTATTATGCAATCACTGTGCATACACACCACCCATTGGCTAAAGCCTCATAGTTGTGTACGGTGATTCGTGACCCTCCGAGGTATCTAATTCATAGATACCTAGAGAGAGAGCACAAGATCTCACATTGATCTACTACCTCCAGGCTAGACATCTCTATCGCTTAGACAGAACACTTTTTAATAATTTTATACATAAAAAATCTTTTTAATTTTAACATCCAAATAATATATTTAATTAAAAGATGCTTCTCATGTAGCACATTTAAATGTAAAATAACTTTAACTTTTCGAAAAAAAAATTCTAAAATAAAAAAGGCATAAAAAAATTATTTTTTCAAAATCACCCCAAATAGAAAATTGAATTACTACAGCCATTTTGAATAATGCGTGATGCTCTCAAAGGGTCCATAGTCTTTCACCGCCAAGCTTCAGCCAACTCAGTTCTAGAGTTTATAAGCCCAATAATTGCACTTCTCCTGTTCTTCTCTGTAGATCCTTCTACTGGCAGCTCAATCACTTTTCTGGAACATGTGACATTGTTACAATTATTCAAGTGAAGGTTTTTGCTCATGCTAATATTTGCTTGAATTTCATTTCTCAAAGAGCAAAGTTGAGAGACAACATTGCAAGGGAAACTCTTAGCCAGCAACCTTATATTCTCAGCAGGTGTAGCCAAACTTCTGGATTCAGTTTCACTTTCAGAGCCATCTTCAATAAGATGACTAGGGCTCTGTAGAGAAGGTTCTTCAGCAACAAAGACGGTATCCTCTTCACTATGATCACTTTCACTTTCACTACCATCCTTGAATATCAACTGTGAAGAGCTCTCGTGCCCATCATCACCAAAAGTATCTAAATTTGAAACATGATTTGATTTTGTCATAGACTCCTCTCTTTCTCTCAGTGTCTTCATCACAAGAGTCTTGAGAAAATTCATCACTTGTACCGCATACATCAAAGCCGTCAAAGGATCTGCCATCTGTAGTAGACAAGTCAGAAATGCTATTATTGCACAACATCATCAACGTCAACAACATCTTTACCTCAAACTAGTTGGGGTCGGTGATAGATAAATCCAAATGAAAAGTATGAAAAAATTGACAAAAAAAGAAAAGAATAAAATTTAAATATATATATAACAATATCCACAAAAAAATAGCATTAAACAATTAAAGGGAAAATTAAATTAAATAAAGATTATAAGAGGACAAAAAAGAATAAGAAAATTAAAACAAAGAGTAAAATAACCTGATACCAATAAGGCAAATCGCGGTGTACAAGGTTTCGTGACTTGTAAAGATAGGGGTGAGTTGATTATATGTAACCTTACTCTTTTTTGCAACTAAACCGATGCTATAATAAAAACAACATACTAAAAACATTATAGGAAGAAGAGAAAGCACAGTGCTTAGGGAGAACAGTTCACATATATTCACCATAGTAAATAGAAACACTGATATTGCACCATAGATCAACAATAAGCTCTGATCAACACTATAATTTTGAGTCTAATGGTAACATACTAAAAACAAGATTTAGGAAGATAATAAAGCTCATCAAATTTATTGTACTGAGGGAGAATAGTTTTCAAGTAGTAGTCACCAGAGCCAAAAAGAAATAATTTCCCTTAATAAATACTTCTCTGATTTGGACATGTCATGCCATTCCTAAGAGATGTTCAATCATCTAAAAGATTGCACATTGTTCCAGAACCAGCACAAATTATCACCTCTTGCAGAAGCTCTAACACCCTTTATAATGTAAAAACAAAATCTAATTACATGAATCTTTTTTTCAGCAAAAATGTTAGATTACTTAAATGAATGACAGTTAAACAAACCACATGAGAGAAAGATTATAAAATCGGATATAACAAAATGAAGTTGTACCCAATAACGTGAAGTTGGCTTGTATAAACTCAATCACAAAAAATATGGGTGAGAGACAGAGAGTAGAACCGTATCCTAAATATACAAGAAAACATGATATTGACTTACTTGAGTCATGTTTGGTGCAAAAACCATTGCAACATTACGTGCATCCATCTTGTTCAAATGTTCCAGTTGAGCAACATCAGCCATTAGGTTTATTGCCCAATCTAGCAAAGTGGCTTCTGTCTGAGGAAGAAGCCTCACAAGCTGAGCAAATTCTTCTTCTGATTGGGACTGCATCACCTGCTCTTGTGAAAGTGAGTCTAATACCCCAGTTGGTAGTTCTCTGAACCAAGCCTGAAAAAAAAACACAAGAATATCAAATTAATGCAGTAACCCTCTTAATATAGTTTTCTTAATGAGTTCATGTTCTCGGTTAATGTATCCACCCTCAGGAAAAAATAAAGGAAGAGGTATCGAAACAAATTAATTTATGGGAATATTGTTTCTCGTGTTGCATGAGATAGTTTGTCTTATGCAACTTAAGAAACAATATTCTCTTAATTTATTTATCAAATTTTCAAATTGAAGAAAGGACCAAAATCTACAATTGAAGAACCAAATTCTAAAGAAATGTCTAACCAATTTGTATTTTGAAAAAAAAAAAAAGTGATTCTGAAGAAAAAATCTAGTAATACCTTTATAAGACCTGCTAAGTAGTGCACGTCAACGCCATCTGGTACAATCCCTCTATTTAATTGTTCCCTCACAAACTCCTCTTGACTATTCTCAGCATTAATTCTGAAGATTCCTTCAGCCTGAATGTATGCATTAAAATCTCAACTTCAAGTCTAGTATAAACAGCAAATCATATAAAAGCTTTCTGGTAAAATCAAAAACAAACAACAGATAAAGTTTTGAGATTGTTCATCCACTAGCTGGCATTATTTGGCCAAGTAATGTAATTACTCAAATCAATTTTAGATTCTCACTAACAAGGAAGGGTAAGACATAGAAGAAATACCTGCAGACCTCCTTGTGCATACAAATGTCTTTGCATTAACAAGAGTATTGTAGGTACACTATTCCCTCTAGCATCAAAAGAAAGCTGCATTGATTCTGTTGAAACCCCAAATATATTTGCGCTGTGGATAATAAAATAAAATATATCAACACTCAAACAGATATTTAAAGAATCAGGTAGAGAAGACTGCCAAAAGAAGATGAACAGATGGATGGTTTGTCAACTAAAGTGCAAATGCAATGTGCATGTATCACCAAGGGCTGTAATGGAAAATCTTATACAAATTGAGTTGCAAGAAATTATCAATTGTTTTATGATCGTAACTGCGACACCATTGATGAAGTGGACTACAGTCTCAAAGAAACAACACTAGTATGTACCTTTCATCAAGCTTCAAGCTTGACAAAGACAGGTAAAATAGAGTGCAAAAAAGACAAACTGTAGATGCAGGGCAAGGCATTGGGAAGAGAAGAGGATTACTGTTTTTTCATGTCACACTGTACAATTTCTGGCTTCTATCAGACTTCTATAATAACGAATATTACAAGGGAATCACAGTCCATGGGGAACAACGTAAATTCACATGATAAGAAATCACAGTCCATGAGGAACAATGTAAATTCACATGACAAGAGATATCACACTGCAAGTGTTTACAAAAAGACTGCCATTGCATAAGCAAACAACGAGCTGAGATTAAACATAACTGTGACACTAAATTACTGGAATTCCAGTCTTTCACTTTTACGATGATTGCAAAATGCCATTTGTTATAAATCAAATATGAATTTTAAACTTCAAGAAGATTAAGCCATTGGCATGCATGTGTCAAACAGAACAAGAAGATAATCTTGCTGCAATGTAAAGAACCTTGGGATACACCACTCCAAAAGCTAGCTCAAGGGGTAAGAGTGCCCAAGGCCTTATAAAGGCCATATTAGTTGCCCATCCAATCAACGTGAGACTATATATCTCAACACGTCCCCTCACGCAAGAGCCCTTTAGGCTAGAAGCGTGGAATTGCACAGGCCCATTTTTGGTTTACCTTTTAGTGTTTTTTATTTTTTATTTTAATTCCACTTTTTAAAGCGGGGGACAGTGAGACTCTGATATCTTGGGATACACTACCCCAAAAGCTAGCTCAAGGGGTGGGAGTGCCCAAGGCCTTATATAAAGGCCATATTAGTTGTCCCATCCGATCAACATGAGACTATATATCTCAACAATAACCTGTAATTACACATAACAAAATTACATAAAAAAATAAAAACTTTTGGCATAACAAATTGAACAAATGCACATGAACCAACCTGGCACTGGGAACCCTTCTGGGGACTTCAGGTTCGAACTCAACAGGCAAGCCAAGAAAACCATTGAAACGGTCAAAGGTGACATGTGCAACATGCCTAACATTAGAAGGCAAGCCAATATCCATTGAAGAGAAGTCACCACCACTCCTAATACTACTACAACCAATCATGGATTTCCTTAAAGCAACAACCAAAAGTGACAAAATAGACACTTGATCTCCCTCGCTGTCCCTTTCTTTCTTTTTTCTGTATCCTTCTTCTTCAACCTCCTCTGCACCCAAATGGTGTTCCACTTCCTCCACTGTGTCAAAATGGGAACTTGGGTGCCCACGTGGACTTGAAGAGCTTGAGGATGAAGGGGAGTGAGATGGTGATTGGAGCACTTCAGTCATGTCTCGTTTTGTGTTGTTTTGATTAAGCTAATTGTTTTGTGGGAACAAGTATTAGTCTTTTTGTGTTGTGTGATATGATATCTATTATTCTATTTTCTTCAGGGAATGGAAAGACATGATTTTGACGACATGAATGTGAAGTGGCGTTTGATTCAAGAAAAGGGTCTTGGAAGGTGAGACGTTACTGTCATTCCTGTGCCTTCACCTGGTCGTCTTGCCTTTTAAGGCTAAAGAGAGAGAGAGAAAGAGAGGTTGTTAGGGTGGTGGAGAAGGTGGAGAGAGAGGGAATAATGACATGTACTATAAGATCTTATGTAGCTGGGGACACTACTTTACAGGTGGTGGCACACAATGATTTCCACCTCACGAGAACCTTTGAGTCTTCCCTAATTCCCATTGCATGTTTATTTATAGGACAACTTTCCAGGAAAATTAATATTGACTTTATCACTGAGGGGTAGCACTTATTAATCACATAATTATTTGTGTCTATTTCGAAGAGAATGACAATAGTTTTCACTGTGTGACTTTTAATTTATTTATTATTTTACAATATAATAAAAGGTTTATCTAATCTCATATTATATAAGAGTTATGTCATAAATGCAAAATGGTGGAGTCACTATCTAAAAAAGAAAAAAGAAAAAAAAAGGATAGGATATTGTGACACATAAATAATGTTACGCACAATGTTACGACCACATCTTAACTGTTGATTTCCGTCAATCAACGGTTATTATTTTTCAAATCAAACTCATTAATTAATTATTAATTCGCAATAAATGATAAGCGTTGATTGGGGAAAATCAACGGTTAAGATGTGGTCGTAACATTGTGCGTAACATTATTTGTGTGTCACAATATCATATCCCAAAAAAAAATATTGCACGGTTATCGAACAAGTGTGTAGGAATGAAATCTTGGATTTGGATCTTCTTATATGAAAAAATGGTAATGTGGTCATGTTATTTAATCACAACAATTCATTTAAAAATTATATATTTTTCTCTCTCTTATCTCATCATCAATTAGTAAAAATAAATGATTGTGATTAAATAATATGATCACTTCTCCAAAAGAGAGGATCCAAATCCTGAAAATTTATCTCATGTAACAAGAGAATAAATTTTCCCTATAATAAAATACAAAACTAATGATATTTAATAATTTTTAAATTTTTATGTAAAACTTTAAATAAATAATTATGTTTAAAATTAGATGTGTAGTGAACAAGAGACTAATCTACAATCAAAATCCTTAGTGATGATTCATGCCTATCTATCTTCCCTCAGCCATTTTTTAGTGAAGTGTCTTTTATTTATTTTTATTTTTTTGCTTTCTTTTTCTCCCTACTTTAGAGAACTCTTTTATTATAAACATGAATTTGTATTGGTCATTTTATTGTACATGGTTAAATTAAGAAGCCCTAGGCCTAGGCATTGCCTTATTAAACTACTTGGTCCCCACCGTGGAAGGAACATTGAGGGTTATATCAGCCCAAACACTCTATAATGTTGTCCCAAGGTGTCCTTAATTTCGCTATCATTGCTTGAACGTGAGGGCTTTGTCGGCGGAATGAAAATTTCTTTAAGATGTAATTCTAAATCTTCTTAATAAATTAGTCTGATAAACTTTTTAATTAATTAAAAATAGTTCACAATTTGTTGAGAATTTGAGATATCAAATGCTTAGGTCTTTTAATTTAATATTTTTATTTCAATTAATCAAAAATATTTTAGATTAATTTTTTACTAACAAGATTTAGCATCGTTCTTAAGGAAATTAACCAAGTAGCTTCTAACCTTGGAAAAAAGATTTTTGAATAAGACCAGAATCATAGAAAAACTGCTTCTTCTTCTTTTTTTAAATGGAGCAACTTTCGATTTATTTCTCAAAATGGATTATTTTCATTATGATGATTCTCAAATGATGTATTTTTTCATTACATAATTATGGAAAATAATTTTCGCTATTGAACAATCTGTAACAAGAAGATTTTGATGTGATACAAAAAGGAGAGAATCAGAACATAATGAGAGAGAGACAAACATACTAGAATGAGAGGTTGATTGAGGGAGAAAAGAGAATGGGAGAATAATTGGGAGGAAATTACTCTCTTCTTGTTTATTCTATTCAACCAACTAACTTTTTATAATAATTTACAATAAAATAGCAACGATAATAAATGAAAATAATTTTAATTGATATCAACCCCAATTGATTGATATCAGTCTAATCCTAATAGTTTATGATATAATCCTAAATTGATATCAATCACAATTAATTCATATTAGTCTAGTCATTTTATTAATACTAATTAATACCAATTATAATTATTTGATATTAATCTAAGGAGAAAGTTATACTTACAACCTATTTTCTTTACAACCATATATCTTAACCGTTGATTTCCGCCAATCAACGGTTATTATTTATTGTGATTTAATAATTAATTAATAAATTTAATTTGCGAAAATCTTAACCGTTGATTGACGGAAATCAACGGTTAAGATATATGGTTGTAAGAGGTTGTAAAGAAAATAGGTTGTAAATATAACCTTTCCCTTAATCTAATGATTACGAAATATAATTATCACACAATTCCTGTTAAAAAAAGTCTAGTTCATGTTTATCAAAAGAAAAAATATTATCATATTTACAACGAATGTTTGTGTTTCGGTCAGTTCAATTAGCTAACCCAAGAATTGGAGCCCAATATCATAGGCCTATATATCCCCTGCTATACCAGCAATGCCATTAGGGGTGAAAGTGGGCTGGGCTAGGCCAAGCTATGCCCCGAAAAGTCCAAGCCTACTTCAAAAAAAAATCAATTTGGCCTGGCCCAAGCCTAGTATGAGTCTAACTGTTAGCCTGACTTGACCCGTTTATAAAAAAATAAATGGTTTGGCCTAGTCCATTAGTTTGTTAATTTTTAAACTCAAAAGCAGAATCATGAATCAACTTTACAAAATACTTAAATTCTGTTGCTATACCAAAAATCATAATTTCAACGTCCAAACAGAATCATGAATCACAATAAAACTCATACAATCTGCATTTAAATCAATTTCAAAAGCAAAATGCTTAAACTAAATAACATATATTTCATCAGATCCAACAAATAAATCCATACTATGTAAATTAAAATAACTACATGAATCTTACAAACACATCATCATGTTTGTAGTAAGTATAACATCTCCCAAAAACTTTTTAATATATTCATATATACAATCTAACATACTGAGATGTTGGTTCCTCCTAGGGGTGTTCATCAATCGATCCAAACCGCCATAATCGAACCGAAAAACCGAAAACCGAAAAATCAAAAACCGAAAAAAACCGCAAATTTTAATTGGATTGGATCGGTTTTCGGATTGGTCAATCCAAACCGATCCAATATATTAATGTCCCTCTACCTACTTGGGTTTTTCCCCAATCATAGCCCAAAAATTTCTAAACCAAAGACTCATTAACCCATCAACTAAACTCAAGAAAAAACCTAGTCACATCTCATTAACAAAATTTAATTTGTGTAGAGCTTTATATCTCATTGCCAAAAAAGGAAAAATTACATTATCGTTTAATGATGCTTTTATATTTTTAGAAAATAAAATTACAAAGTCAATATATACAAAAGATGTTATTTGCACAATAATCATGAAATACATTTTAGGATTTTTAAAAAACCGAAAACCGATCCAATCCAAACCAAAATTTTTTGGATTTGATCGGATCGGATTTGAAAAAAAATTCAAACTGAATGGATGATTACATGATCAAACCGAATAGATTGGATCGGATGATTTTTGCTTCCAAAACCGATCCAATCCAGACCGCGAACACCCCTAGTTCCTCCTACATAAGAAATAAAGTCAGATTTCTATTAAAATATAATCGAATATAATTAAGTTATAAATAATTGTAATTGATTAAATTTATATCTTTTATTTTTTCTTCAAGTCATACTTATTCTATTTTATTTTATTTAAAATAAATAGTACAATATAGGCCAGCCTGTAGGCTTATAGGCCAGACCTTGTGAAAATGAGCCTACGGCCTTTTTATTAAACAAGGTCCAAGCTCGGCCTATTTTACGAAATATACTAGGTCAGGTCTGACCTGACGTAGGCCGAGCCGTAGGCCCCTGTAGGCCGGCTCGGCCCAATTTCACCCGTAACAGCCATGACAGAGCTATCATAACAGTGCTGACCCATCAAACGTCCCAACGTAAGACACCTAAACGTTCTACGTTGGAATATTCCCCTCTCACTTTTCCTTGCACAACAGTCGTTCTAATGCTGACAATGACTGCAAGATGCCTTGCCCCAGTTAGACCAGGCTATAGTGGCTCAACCATGTCTCCATTGACCTAGCTCTTTCTCCTATCCTCATGGATCTCAACCCTACCTATAAATACCCTCCCCTTTTCACTATCAAAACACACACTATTCACTCTTGGTATGAACTGTTATGCTGCCAATATAGCCATATTACACCATCCCCTCTTGATATAACACTTGGAAAACTCTTGTAGAGCTTTGGTTCATACCACTGTTGCTTAAGGATATCCCTAAAACGATATACTTTGTCCTTCAAAGGACACATGACTGATTCTCTAGCACAACTTATAGTTTAGTCAGATTATCTATAGCACTATGGTATGGTCTGTTTTTAACAAAGTTTCTCAATAATGATCAAGCAGCATGAGCTATATTGTTAATCTCACTAGTAAATTCATTTGGGTAAAGAGATTTGAATAGTATGTGGCTGCTCAGAATGGTAAATATACCTGACAAATCTTCTTATAAGTTATTTATCCTGTCAATGTTCTCTTTAGATTTGTTCTTTTAATCCATTTGATGTAAAAAGCAAAAATTTATCTAATTAATTCAAAATTTAAATATTTTATCAAAATAATACAGCAAAATACATTTAGCAAATATGTGAACTCAAGTCACGCACCTTCTGCGACTTAAACACACACTATTCTTTAAGTGTTTTATTGTATTATTTTGATAAAATATTTAATTTTAAATCAATCCGATAAAAACTTTTCAATTTTACATCAATATGATCAAAAAGGTGTTCTGATTTCAATACCACTTGTCGTTATGTCAGCATAGAATTAAAACTTGTTTTGAATACTTTGTTAAAGGATAGGACAAGAAAAAATCTGTACATCTGGCTTCTCTCCCGTTGTTGAATAATTGAAGAGACATAATTTTTTAATAAAACTAATGGGGTCCTTGCATAACAACAAATGTGTATATGTCTTAACATTATCTTACCCAACATCTTGATGAAGGTGCTCGAGCAATTAAATTAGCATTGTAACTGTATATGACAACCTGGATTTGTGATTACTTCAAAGTTATACTTCTAACCTAACACATGCTACAATCCATACAAGAAAGTTCAGCAACTGAGATTTGAAGATGAAAAAAGAGAGGAAAGAAAAAAAAAAAAAATTGGTGTTAGATGGGCTGTATATTGGAACCTAATGAATCTTGAGATGCTCACGCAACATAACAAGAACAAAAAAATAGCAGAATCTTGGACTTTTTTCCTTAACGGATATAATGCCCAAAAAAAATACTCTATGCCTTTTGTTGACGAAATTTCTAATATACTACGGCCGTACTTATCTCCACCCAATAAAAATATAACATCTGTATCAATATATTTTTTGAAGAGAGAAATATATTTTTTTTATATTTATATATTTCTTGAAATACATAATTTGTAATTTCATTTTAAATAGAAGTCGTACACATACTCAGTGCGAGAATAATAGCAAAGATATTCTCATTTATTGGGGTCTTTATGGCTGGATAAGGCTCTACATTTAACTACAACATGTAATTCTCCCGTTATACAAAGTTAGGAACTATGAAGTAAAATAAAAAGTGAAAAGCAGAATATGCCTAGCACAACCTTTTGTACTAGCCAGAAAAACCAACTTTAAGGAAAGAAAACCGTTGTGGTTCCCATGTTCATGCTCAAATTCAAAATGGCAGGCACAAATGTCGAACATGGTTTGCAATTAGCTCTCCAAGTGCAAACGGACTATACTAAGTAAACTCCTTTTTCTTTTTTTCGTGATTTTGACACTATACATCTTTTAGTTCCATGTTTTCTTAAGAACCTCAAGAAGTATATTAGGCTCCTACCCACTATAGCAGACAAAATTCTTTTAGAGAGAGCTTGTCTTTCAAGTGAGCAAATAAAAATAGGGAATCAGTTTGTCATGTTATAGGAATAACACTGTTTCTTTCTATAACAAGGATTCGGTTTCATATCCTGACTTTTTTTTTTAAGCGTGGGTCCTACACTTGATTTGTGTGTATAGATAAAATGCTCTTATTATGTCACATGACAAAAAGCGAACCCATAAAAATATACTTAACTAAGATTCAAAGAAAAGATTCATTAGTAACAAGGGAGCAGAGTAAATGAAAAGAAGAGGGTCATAGTTTAATCCTCATATACCATCTTTAGAAGTGGTTTAAATATTTCCATCTCTGACCTGCGTCGCACTCCAGATTAATCTCATAGTTGGCTTAAAGAGTCAAAGCTTATAAGAATACCATAGAGAGACAATTTGTCTCAAAGAAGTAATTAGGATTGAGTTAACTCCGAAAAAAATAGAACATACACATTTAGGGCTCGTTTGGTGGACAGGATAGGATAAAGGTATGATATGATATGAGACTGATAAGAGTAGGATATGATATGAGGCTGATAAGCCTATATCATGTCCTGTGTTTGATGAACACCTTATTGGCAATCAGATAGGATTATGTAGGAAGAGAAAAGAGAAAGAAAAATAAAATATAATGCAATAAATACAAATATATTGGGTAGTGTGGGGATACATGGGGTAGCGTGAGAATATATTGAGTATCCAATATTGATATCCTATTCTATTTAATCCTAACCCAACTCCCCCCATAAGATAAGAAATCATGTATTGGATAGGATAAAAGGAGACAATAGGATAAGCTAATCATATCCTATTGACCCACCAAACAAGAGATAAAAGTAGGATATGATAAGTTATCCTATCCTATCTTCTTTATCAGGTGCTCCAAATAGGCCCTTAATTACCAACTTTAAATAAACTTTTTTTACTGTAGCATTAAGCATGCCTTCGGCAAGGCCAATGAAACAGTTAATTACTTGGTTAAGTGGTTAACTATAGTTTGTGGTTGAGTCGAAGAGGATAATCGGTTTGATATGTTCTGCAATTGATCTTATACTTTTAGGATTCTCTAATAAGAGGGTATGAACATACCTTCTCTAGTACAACATAATTTGTGTTGTGCCTTTATTGTGATCTTTTTTTATAGGTGCAGTATTACTTTCTTAATTTGTTGCTCCAGAACAAACAAAATATTTCTATCAATTAAAAATGAGTAACAAATAAAATCTTCATCCTCATATTTCCTCTTTATTTCCAGCCTTCTAATTGAAAGAAAAAAACAAGAACGATCAGTATAAAGTAAATATAGAGAGGACAATTAGATTATTATGATCCAAACTCCATATCCCCATAGTAAGCAAGCAACTCTATTAAAACCATTGTTCCCATTTGTTTTTTAAACAGTTACTGAAGGTCCAATTCACAACATTAATTAAAAATGATAGACGCATGTTCACTATCCTTAAATTATGTTGCGAGTCTATCACAAGCAATATTTAAAGATGCCTGAGTAAATCAAACCGCAACGTGTGCAATGGTTTTGTTCATTCAAGGAAGACAATAAGATTATGGCAATGTGACAAGGGAAAACATGGGAATAACATCGCAGAAGAAGAGCATTTGAATAATTTCATGTTTTTCACCCTTTTTGGTGAAAAATATACTTAATATTCATTGGTCAGAAAGCCAGGCGTAAGCATAACAGAAGGTTTCATTTCAGACACTGATGAATACAAGACCCAATGATATGGGAAGCATAGATTTCAAGCAAAGTATTTTAGAGTAAACCAGATTACTAGAATACTTGCACAACAGCACAAGCATCAGTTACAGCATGAAAGCCTCTTTACTTTTAAAGTAGCACTAATTTGAAGGTGCAACCCAATTAGATCTTACTCTCAGCACTACATAGTTCACATACACACACACAGTTGAAACCCAAATATACACAAGTCATGTCCTGTTGACAGGTTCAAGTGCTTCAACGGTGACCACACTATTTCCTCTGATCACCTGCAGCAGTAGGCGAGAATGAGATTAACAACTTCAAAATGACAATCATACTCAGTTAGTAGCTAGTTCTTTACTACATAGCTTAAGCAGAGAATGCAAAGAATGAGAACTCACCACCATCCCTATATCATTTTTTTCGTTGCCATTCACTTCCACAGTATTGTCAATAACCAAATTCATGAACTGGTCAAAGCCCCGGAGAGTACCAATAATCATCCTATTCGCATTCAGCTTGACTGCAAAGAAACACACAAGTATAGCATAATTTCTCTCTCTCTGTAAGTTGTAAGACTTGCTATCAAAGATAAAAATCCCTATGAACTATTAAAGCTTGACCCAAATGTACATAGCACACATACTAAGAAACTGACACTAGCAGAACTCATAACCTATAAGAACAAATTGACACTCTCATGTTCTTAACTCACAAAATTCTCACATTTTTTCTATGTAAAACAATCATAATACCCCCACTTCTCACACCAAATGTGAGACAATCATAATCCATCATGGAATATAGATAGTTGAATATATTATAAAAAATGTTAACAGTTCTAATTTCCAACCAATCTAGCTATCAAATAAAAGGGAAACTACCCAACACACACACACACACACACACTCATAAATAGAAACTAGTAATTCGTGCCATATAAAACCACACAAAACCACTTCCATGAGCCGGTAAAACAAAGAATCATCATGGAAGTGAAAAATGTTGTTTTTATGACCCATAGAAAAACACTGCCCCACACCCTAAGTTTTGGTAACATGCAGAATAATGGGACACAATGATAAACAAATCATGGAGAGATGAAAGAATCAAACTCACTCTGAAGCTTCTTGTCCATGTACCTGTCAGTGTCACATCCAAAAAACAAAGATTAATAGGGATTATATGAAGTAAACTTGAAGAAAAAAAAAGGTGGAAGAGGAACAAACAGAGTTGAGACTTGAGAGAGAACAGTGTTTACTTTTTCAAATCTGGGGGCTGCCCTGATCTGCTCATGGTGAAAAGATTGGGACTTTAGAGCAACCCAAAAGAAAGAAGAAGATTTTGAAATACAAATAAAAAACCTCGACTTCTGCAAAAAAAAGAACCCTAATTCTAGTTAGGTTGAACTGGTTAAGTGTAAATTAAAATGTAGTATTTAGAAAGAAAGAGGAGTAGGGGTGTTGCGAGAATCGAACTCGCGACCTCTCGCACCCGAAGCGAGAATCATACCACTAGACCAAACACCCATAAGATGAATTTTTTCTAATAGGTTATAATTTACTTTTAAATTTATTTCTTGAATTATGAATGAATTTCTTCAAACTTTCATCGATGTTGACGTTGTGTTCTGTTACGAAACTTTCCAAGATTTCAAAATAAGTTAAATCCTCTCATATGAAAATAAAATGGTACTGTTAGAAGCGAGAAAGAAAAATAATTTATGGATTTAATTTCTTTTATATTGTACGGAATATAATTATCCTATACACACGTAAAAATATGAGGTTTATGTTTTTTTTTTTCCTCTCTCTTCTCTTCATATGGCCTCATATATGCCTCGTACAATTTTATGTATATATAAGAGATAATTTTATCTTTTGTAAATCTACGACATGAAAGATATTAGGGCCTGTTTGGTGTGACGCATAAGGCATGATACTATAAGCTTATACTATACGTTATAACGTTTTCAGTTGTTTGGTGTGACCATCGTATAGTATAAGCTTATACAACATAATTCCTGAATACATCAAAATGATGTATAACTTAATCCGGTCTAAGGGTGAGGGATAAAGCCTGATAAGAGATTGATGTATTAATATCGTTGACTAAAGTAATTCTCAAAAATTAATATATTATTTTAATATTAATATATTAAAATAAAAATTAATTTTTCAATATATTAATTTTTAAAATATTGAATATTTTTATTTTTATAAAAATTAATTTATATTTTGGATACACTGATTAATAAATTTTTATAAAAATTAATATCATATGACATTTTTTGAAGAATTATATAAATTCTTTATTAAAAGATATTTTTATTAAAAATATTTATTTTTATTAAAAATATTTATTTTTATTAAAAATATTTATTTTTATAATATATAATATTATACAGTGCATTACCAAATACTAAATGATATTATCTTATACATTATATTATTTTATACAATACCGTGTCAAACGCTGAATAGTATTAAAATACAATCAGGTCTTATACAATCAGACCTTATACTATCATGTCTTATACTATTAGGCCTTATGCTATACTATGCATCAAACATGCCCTTAAACCCATAGTTTATATGATCAAAACTCAGAAGTGAACTATTTTCGTAATAACTTAATAATATGCAAGATTTAATTTTTGAGGGACATTAAACATTTGTCCTTTTAAATAAATAATATAATTTATGTCATTTTATATCCTAACCGTTAATTTCCGTCAATCAACAGTTATAATTTATTGAATCAAACTTATTAATTAATTAGTAATTCGCAAGAAATTATAACTGTTATTTGACAGAAATCAACGATTAAAATATAAAACAATATAAAATAATATTCTTTAAAAAGACAAATATTTTTCTTGTGCATCCATACCTATCTTATTCAAACCTTCTCAAATCAATAAAGAAATCTATTTATCTTATGTTGCATGAGATTTATCTCATTACTTTATCTCTGTTGCATGAAATAATTATTTTATATATTATAAGGTAATTATTTCCTATCAAAAAATAGGTAACATAACAAAACTTGGACACCAAATGTGTTATTGAAAAAAATAAAATAAAAAACATCAAATATGACGATGGCATGTGATTCCGGCTTTTTCACCCTTTTGCCCCTTATTAATTAATTAATAACCATTTTGCCCTTGATTCGAAACTATCTACCAATCTGCCCCTCTTTAATCGACTACCTTATATTTTTAATCGACTAAACGGTTGTTGGGAGATTTAATCGACTAAATCTCCCTACTTAATCGATTAAAATCATCCTGACTTATTTTTTTTTTGTCAAATATGAAGATTTAGTCAACTAAATAGGGAGATTTAGTCGACTAAATCTCCCAGCAGCCATTTTTTGTCTGTTTTGGCCATTTAGTCGATCAAAAATGCAGGTAGTCGACTAAAGAGAGGCAGATTGATAAATAGTTTTGAATCAGGGACAAAATAGTTATTAATTAATTAATAAGGAGAAAGAGGGTAAAAAAGCCATGTGATTCCAGTCCAATTCCATAACAAAATTGGGGTAAACTAATTTTGACTCATGCCGGCTTGACTGATAAGTATGCAGTTGACTTAAGCCGTACAGGAAATTTCTGTACCTAACGGCTAACGCCATAACATAAGGTAAAAACAAAAACATCGTACGGATGCCTTGAATTTTTACCCTTTTGTGAACAAAAACAGCAGAGTCATTGGTGGCATATACATAGTATATACCAATAATGGGCCACAATATCAACGCGTGGCGCCAAGTCAATATGTGTCACCAGTCACCACCACCAACAATTTCCATGGCCCGGTCCACCGAACCTTCGGCGTAAGTCTTCAATGGACGCATTTTCCTCTTACCAGAACAAATATTTAACCATTCTCTTTCTTAGATGTTTCTTTTAATTTTTTAAACTAAGAAAAAAAATATGTCATTTTAAATGACACACTTTATATTCTTTCACTCTCACAAAGAGGTGAGACTTATACCTTTAAAAATTTTCTCACTCATTCTCTTATTTTTTTCTCTTACTCAAAATAACACAACTGTATATTTTTCAAAATGATACACATTTTTCCTTTAAACTAATCAAGCTGGTATTTTTTTAAGTTTAATTTTTTTTATTACTCAATTAATTCAATTCGAGTCGAGTAAGACACGACCGGCAAAACTCTCCGTACTAAATTTCAAAATAGTTGCGTTCATAAAACTCTAAGAAACCAGTGATTAAATTGAAACAATTTCTTATCATTAATAAAGTTTAATGAGATATTGTTTCTGAATACCCTTTCCCCGCTTCCATGTTTTTCCTTCCTTCTTTGCACGATGTGGTTCTTTTTGACTTATGAGAGAGCTAATTGATGTCTTGTATTATATTTTATGGGTGTTTTTTTTTAATTAATAAAAAAGAAGAAAGAATTCTTTTAACGTATTATTTATTATGATTATATTATTTGAAAAGATTTTAATCATGACAAATTAATAGTTATTAACTTATTTTTTTGTCATTAGACAAAAAAATCTGTTTTTTTTTTTCATCTCTTATTACAGTTGATTTATTCAAGAATAATTATATGAGATAATTCATTCACAATGAAAATAATTTTGAATTAACTCCTTCATCCTAATCATATATACATATCGTAATTATTGTCTTGAGTGATGGAGTTATAGATCCAAAATCATTGACTCAAATAACAATTTTTTTTACAATTGACTTTGAAATTAAATCTTACAAATTATTTTATCTATTCTTCAGAGTAATCTATTTCTTATACTAGCCTTAAATCTTTTTTATAGCAAAAAGAGTGGTGGAGTTGTGAGATATAAGATTTCATAGAGTTTTAGAAGAGCGTGATTGTATAGTGGGAACATGCATTCCGCTAGTTGGTGGATCACCAATTAAGATTAGAGGTTGGAGTTGCTTGGTGTTGGTATTAAGATAATAAGAAAAGCCAAATCAAACCCATGAAAAAAAACATGTAAGCCATTTTCAGCTTCAAATAAATATGATTCCTAAGCAGTGGACCACTAAAAACTACACCCACTGGATAAGTGTGGTCTTACCTTTTTTAATGAACGTTATCAGATGTTTAAATAGATGCCACCAATATTAAATTTTTTGAAGTCTTGGACAAACCCTTTTGTTTGCGCCACTTCATTGACACATATGCATTAGCCACCTAATAATTTACAACCAACAAATGTGGAGTTGAGACCCACACCAACCGTATTATTATGCTTTTTATGTGGTAGTGTGCCACACATTGCTGTGTTTCTTTTCTTAATTTTTAAACAATATGAAGTTATATTTTGTTTTATCTCTTCAACTATTATTTGGTCATGCTTTGCCAATGGGCACTTCAAGACAATTTAAAAGAATTGGGAATATTTTTCCATGCTAAACAAAACATTCATCTGTCATGGATTCCCAATAATTCAAACATGGAAAAGTGGACTTTTTCAAAAGGACACATTCTCCTTGTACTCTCATTTGTCCATCACCTTCTTAGCTCTTTACATATATTATCATAAATCCTCGCTTTCAACTTGCACAATAGCCATTTTTTCTCAACAAAAACTTCCCTCCCATCTTCTCAAAGTCCCTTTGGCACCGAGTTTAATCAGAAACAAAATGCTAGGGAAAAAGATGGTATCATTGAAGAAACTAGCCAAAAAGGTGAAGGCTGTTGGTGGAGCTGACCCTGATCCTCCCTACAATGAATATTTGCTCAAGGGGTATGTGGAAGAATCCCCATCAAGCACAACCCCAAATGGTTTTTTTGCACTTTATGTTGGGGAGGAGCGTCAGAGGTATGTGGTTCCAACCAGTTACCTTTCTCACCCTTTATTCAAGATGTTGTTGGAGAAGGCTTACAGTGAATTTGGGTTTGCACAGAGGAATGGCCTGGTAGTTCCATGCAGTGTTTCCACATTTCAGGAGGTTGTAAATGCTATAGAATGTAACAATGGCAAGTTTGACTTGGGCAAAATTTTTGAAGATTTTGTTTAAAGTGCAGAAAACAGATGCCATCTTTTTTTGTATGGTTAGTGTTAAAATGCATCGGAAATATTACCTCTTTTTTTGGGGTTATATTTAATGGGGGTTCTAGCCAGATTTTAGATTAGACCATAGGTTTTCAAGATGGCGAGCTAGCTTTAACTTCAATTTAAGCCATTATTACAGACAGTTTTCAGTTAAAATTGATCTGACATGTACATTAGTTCTGATATAATAGAAAAATTTAAATATTGGTCTATCTTCAGCTCAAGCTTTTCTTTTGCTTTTAATATTTTTCCTTTATACTTTCAGAAAACGTGCCCTCTCCTTTTACAACTGTCATCCAGTGCAGCAAAAGGGACCTCAGTAATCAGGGGCAACAATTGTGCATGCTAAATTAGTCAACTGTGTGTCTGACTACAAATTGTAATGCATAGATTTGGGGGAAAAAAAGTTCTAACAGCACCAAAGGTAGGAGGTGAGTAGCAGAGAGGAAAGAGTTCGATCCTCAGATGTTATTTTTGAGAGGGACTTAAATATTTTTATACCTGACTCGTCCCACACTCCTGATTAATTTCATAGCTGGCTCGAAAAATAAAAATTTAGGAAAATACTAGAGAAGCTCGTCTCAAAGAGCTAATTATGATAGGATAACTTAAAAAAACAAAAAAAAAAGTTCCAACAGCATTAAATTTACACTTGTATTAGGTGTCTTCCCTCAGACTTAACTTGCCCTAGGGTAGATATAAGGTGCCTATGGGTTGAGTAATTCAACTTAAACTCATCCATACACGTTGTGTGAGAGCAAGATATTCCAAGTCATAAGCTTCATTCAACTTTAAAATCTTGATAAGCTTTATTATGGTGTAAATAGGCTAGACTTTAACTTAAATAAGCTAGGTCTATATACAAATTCTTATGCATGGCTTGACCTAAAAGTCTTAGCCTTGACTGTTTAAACCTATTAAACATTCAATAACAAAAAAATAATTAAAATAATATTACTTTATTAATAAAAATTATTAAAACAATATTATTATTTATTTTATTTAAAATAAATAATATGATATAGGTCAACCTATAAGCCCATACAGAAAAAACATATGACCTGCTTTCTAAATAAATTTTTTTTTAAAGTCTAAGCCTGTTCTATTTAACTATTTATAATAAGCCAAACCTGACATAATATAGACTAAGTCATAAATTCCTATAAACTCACCTAACCCGTTTAGAACCCTAAACTTAATGAATAACGATGCTTGGAACACAACAGCACCAAGCACATCACCTTTGCGTGAAGTGAAAAAATCAGTGCGTGAATGTACAGAAAACAAAGTGAGGTCAGATATAATAAAATGGTAAAAATTATATCAATATAAACTAATATAAGTGCGAATGTAGCTGATTAACATTATTCTAAATTAATTCGGTCATAAGTTTATGAATTAAATCAATAAACCTTCCACTTCTTGAGGCCATCTGAGAGCAGAGAAAGCATCTCTGCATTTTTTTAAAAACTGATGTAATTGCAACTTTTGCAGATGCTTCGTTCCTCCATTGCGAATTGCATTGTATTTCTACCTTCATTTAAAATTCCTCAGAAATTCAATAAACCAAGGAGAATCTACACCACAAACTGAAATTGAAGAGACAACAAAGTTTATGAATTGGTCAATAAAATTATGACCACTACTAGCTCAGAAATGGATTATAGTTCAATTTATTGATTTTCACTGTTACAACCATCCACAAGTATTCTCTTCATATGATCGACTAGTTCTTGGATCTGCTCTCTTGAGTGAAGGGGTGATGGATATATACAAGCACAGTCCAACTTTCCACCTCGTATGGTGTCAAATATGGCTATGGATGGGCCTACACCATGTGTGGAAGCACAACCAACATAATCTTCCAATCCTAGCTCTTCATGCATTTCAGCCGAATCATCAAAGACAGGGTCCTCAAACACAGAGAACAAAGCAGTTCTAAGTGCTGATGATGGTGTCAAACCAGGGTTCTCAATGGCCTTGCACATGAGGAAGTTCAGGTCAGACATGTCTGAGAAATGCTTGTTGCAGTTCATAGAATTTACAAAAGCTGAGTAGCTTCTCTTTGCCAGCTCCCATAAGGGTTCTCCACACACATCATGAGTGTTCAAGATGGCAGAATGGTAAAACCCTGAACCAAACATCAGATGCATTGGCATAATGTTCTAAAATTTTACAAAAACGATTAGAAAAGGGTATCACATGCCTTCACATGCTCGGATTATTAATAATTTCAAAATTCCAATATATCATGCATTGCCCAAGTTCATTAATGTCACTTATTAGTCTAAAAGCTGGGAACCATATTGCTCTACAAGATTAAGCTCTCACTATAAGTGCACTGGTACATAAGCAATGAAAGTCTAGTGAAAATTTTGATTCAAATGTCAAAAGAAGGGGGGGAAATCACAATTATGAATGTCAAAAATAGAGCGTCAGGCAATTATCTAACAAATTAATTTACTAGGGCTGCAGGGAATGATTTCATTAATCAGTGATACTAATGAGTTGATTTCATTGGAATATAAGACAGCCTCCCTTTTCTACCCATCCAAAAATTGTTTTCACTCAAGATATATGTGAAACTAATTGGTGGATTCGGACAATGCAGGCTCCTTGTTTTAATTACATCTTGCAGTCTCACATAAGAATTAATAAAAGTTAGAAAAAACTAGTGCGAGTGTTAACTGACAATAAAAGAAACAATAATCTTTCCAATTTATTATAAATAGGATAGGACCTGAAGAGGAAGAACAGGACATTTTTCTGTAAACCAGTCAGGCATTATATTCAAAGTAGCAGAAGCATCATATGAAAAACAAACAAAAAATTGAATTAAGATTACTAGAGACTCCGGCTTACCAACGTGGTTGCTACAAAGGACTGGATCAAGAATTGAGCGGCAATCAACAAGTGTTACTACAGCATACTTTTCTCTTTGATAATCAGGAAGGTGTTTAGAGGTCCATGAGGCGATCATTCCAGCAGCTGCAAGTGCCGCACAAAGCTTAATCCCTCTTGATTTGCATCCCTACACGATCATGCATGATTAACTTAATTCATCAAATTACCAGATCATAGGCAAAAGTGGGTACAGAGTAGGATGCCATATCGATCAAATTTCATAATAATCAGATTATAAGACGTTGGATGCATAACAAACACATTTAGCATTTAGAAGAAACTTTTAGAGGCTTATAGTAATTTTTTCACACTGCTTTATCCAAGGCATCAATTTTAATTACAAATACCTAGAGATGAAAAAGATAATAATAAAACAATGCAGCTGATTTGTACCCCAAAAAAACCAATTGCAGTTGATATTAGTTATAATTGGCCACAATATTATCCCAACTGCAAATATGAATATGTTCACTTTGTTTAGCTGATAATTCCAATTCATATTATGAATAGGGGGTCAGGATCAATGGTCCAGTAAGAGTGGCTTCTTCAATGTAACGTGCCAATTAATTTTATTTATTTATTTTTTTAAAAAGGCCGTCGTCTTCATCTCCTCTTAGAAAAGAGGAAATCTAGGCTTGCAAATGGAGATTGCAATAAAAATCTCGTCTTAAACTCCTTACACACAACTTTACTCTTAAATTTTTTACAAAGACACTATTTTCTAGATTTAAACATGTGACCTTTCAATCACATAAGAGCAGCTTCACCTCAAGATTTATTTAACATTTGAAATGATAGAGCTAATGCTCATAATACTTTTACCGGCAAAAAACTATTGATGGGCTAACGTGTCATTGTGGTGATATCAATGGTTACATTCTTACATTAAACAATGTAATGAAAGTAAGTAAATATATAATAAAAAATTACAAAACTTCTATTTCTTGCTTCTGTAAGAATCAGTTTGTTGAACAATTATGCATACAGACAGGCCCAGAGGCAGAGCTCCTGGTAGATATATTTTGAATCAAATTTATTTTTTACATGCACTCAGTGCATTAAGCTAAACAGCTTACAACACACTTAACTGCTCCATTGCATGTCTCAAGTTTAACACAGATTACAAAAAGGTTTTCTCCTTAAAAAGAGCATTCAAGGTGATATTCTCCTACTATTGGTTGGCTCAACTGATATATAATCCTTAACAATAAATGCAAGGACTTAATATCCAGTTAAAACTTCACTTTAAAGTAGAAACATAGGTAGAAGTTCAGAGAAATAAAATATTTAATTCCCCACGTGTGAACCAAACCAATAGACAGCTAAAGAAAACACTAGGACAGTAGGGTCTCTGAACCATGAAGCCATAACTTTAACATGTTCAACTTTGCAAACCATAGGCTCCTTCCCAATCACTTTTTATTTTCTGAAAATATGAATCTCAATCCTATACAAAGTTGTCCATCTTCAACCATTTGAAATTTTTAAATTTAACAGAGTGGCGGAGCCAGCAAAGCATTTTAGCCGGTGCCAAAAAATTCAGTTGGTGCCAAAATAGCTACGGTTATATATCTATGTCCAAAATGTGGTTAATTTTCAAAAAATTTGAAATGTGATTTTCTGCGTTTGTTTAGCTACGCTTGAAACATGGCCAAATTAGCCAGTGTCAACATACTTTTGGCACTAACTGGCTCCGCCACTGATTAAACATAAGACACATAAGTACAATCAGGAAAAAAATAACAATAGTTATAGACAAAGATGAAGATGAAGTAATAACCCATTAACTGAATGCAGGAGGAGGACTTATTACATTGTGAGTGTAGTCAATTACTAAGTTAATTATCGTGCTAACTAACTACATCTTTGATTAACGACAATTATATGAAGGGTGACCAGACATTAGGTGTTTGTACTTGGACATTGAAGTTATCACTTAGACATGCGCAAAATTGGACCCATGTCTGTCTCCTTACTCCTTACTCAATCACTCCTCGGAAAACGACTCCCAATAGTCAAAACAAAGTCACCCATATCTACCATGATACCTATCTCCAATTGTCTCACTTTTATTAACTAAAATAAAAATAGCATACCTATCATGTGAAGTTATTGAATTATTATTATTAATGTTAGGACTTTATTAATCTTATACAATAAGAGAGAACTCTCTCATGCTATAGAGACAATCATATGTGGGATCCACTCACTTATAGAAAAAGATAAAAAGATAAAAAAGTAACACAAAAATCGATGTATGTGTAGGAGATAAAAACACTCTCCTACAACATAAGAGTATATTCTCCCTTAATGTTATGGATACGGACATATCTATAAATAATGATGGGTCGCTATACAAAAAAGTTTTTGTGATATATTGGAGAGGATCAAAATCACACGACACCGACCCAACACAACAAACATCAACATCATCCAAAACATCAATGTCATATAAATCACCATTATAAATATAATAAAACGTTATTATTTATCTAATTATTTTCACTAGTACAAAAATTCAAAAGAATTAACCGAAAAATATCGGAGAATTATTATCCTTCCAATACAGCAACTATTTTGAACTATGGATTGTTCCTAGATCAAAATCCATTTTCTATACGGGAATCAAAATTTAATTAATGCATAATTAAAAAAATATTTCATAAGAGAATTATTTTATATCCCTTTATTCAATCCTCCAAACAACTAAATACCTAATGATTTTTACTTTAGTTCTTCTTTTTATTTGATATTTTTTATGAATTAAATAATAAGAGAAATTAACTTTGATAAAAAAGAGTGGTGGTGACTCACAGCTAGTAGGCTCTCTGTTTCGTCTGCATTCAGCTGCATCCTAACCATCTTAGAGCTCCTAGGCGAATCAGCGTCCACAAAACTCAAATTCGCGAACCGAAGCGAGTTCAGCGAGTAACCAAGCATGTCCAAACCACGCGCCCAAAACGGCTTGCTCTTCTTCGATTCGGGAATCAGATCCTCAATCGCCAAGTTCACATTTTCTTCCTTCACGTCGGTGCCGCCGCCGTCGTCTCCGCCGCCTCCGGCCACTAGCCGGAGAAGTTCCTTCAGCAGCGCCACCGCCGCGGCGCGGTCGCACGCCGAAGTGTGCAGGCGGAGGAACACCGCGAACCGATCGTCTGTTACCGTGTACGCGCTCGCGTACAGGACGTCGGTGTCGGCGCGGCTAGGATCTTGCCACGTGTCGCGGTTAATCTCGTGCTCGATGAGTGTGTGGAAGGGGCTGATCTGATCGTGACCGTTGGATTCGCGTTGGAGAATATGGGACGTTGATTCGAGATCGAAGGGTTGGATTTGGACGCGGGGGTTTGGGGGTGTTACGAAGTGGAAGGTGTTGGTAGAAGTGTCGAGGTGGATCTTGGAGCGAAGGATAGGATGGGAATTTTGGAGATTGCGGAGGGTAGTTTGGAGAAGAGGGATTTGTGGTGGTTTAGAGAGGAAGAGGCCGAGGACGGTGACGCCGGTGCCGCCAGGAACGGCCTTGCACCAGCTGAACTCGGTGCTGCCAACGGGTCGGGTTTTAGTTAACTCCGACTCGGACTCGGGCATGGGTGGATTCAGTGTCTCAGACTCACCCTCTTGGGCCATGATGCTAACTGCTAACGTTGAATGGAGAATGAAGGGTAAGAGAGTGTTGAATTTAAGAGTTTAGCGAGGAAGTATTTAAAGGAGGTAAAATTGTGTTATTATAAGTGAAATAAAAAAAATATAAGAAAGAAGAGAGTGAAAAAAAAAATATTAAAGTATGAATCCTACCCTTTCTGAGAGTAAAGAATATAAGATATGTAGATGATAAATTTTTCTCTACAAATAAACATTGGAAATCTGCTATCTGCAGAGCACGGTCCCACCGTGCTTTGTCTTTTATGAAGAAAGTGTATGTTTTTCTGGAAGTTATTGCAGAAAAGAGAAGTTATTGATTGCAATTAGTTTTGTTCTCTACTAGACTCAATACAAAATCTTTTATTTTATTACATTTGGGTTTTGCTTACTCAAGAAGCTCAATACACACCTCAATTAGGGTTTTAGCTCAATTCAGTTGTTTCCCATTAGACTCTTTCACTAGTCATGTGACATATGTCCCAATCCCAAGATAATCTTTACCTAAGTTCTCAAAGTTAATAATGTCTCTGAAGAAATTATTTCAGAAGCTATTTTGTAATGATTATTTCATGGACAATATATATATATATATATATATATATGCCAACCATGATTGCCTTTCATACACAATCCATGAAAACCACCTAGCTGCATACATGGCTAAACTAATGGCAAGGGGGAGACTTATGACTTCACCAATTACCACCCCTACCTTGTCCCTCAAAGGCATGTAAAAATCACTTACTATGCTTTAAGTTAGTAAAAAATGAAAATAAAAATAAAAATGGAGTATTAGTGTCTCGGGTTTAAAATATGATGCAGAAAATTTTGAGTGTATTCCTTTTTTTTTTTTTGAGATGATAGTTTCTTAAGTTTCTTATAGACTAATCCGGAATTTGAAACATATCCGGAATTAAAATTTTAAATTATTTTTAAAAATAATATTAGAGAGTATTGAACATATGCTCTTATTCTTACTTACTCAGTTCTCATGCGTTAACTGAACTACTTGACTGAGTGTATTTTTCTTAGCAAGGTGTTTTTATTAGAATATGAGTAAAATGTACATATTTATTCAATAAAATGGACTTAGATAAAAAAAAATTATAAAATAAATGATAAGGAAAAAAAATTGAAAAAAGAGAGTAAATCACACGAGTCCCTAATCTATAATACTCCGCCCTATTAAGTATTATCTAACTAAAGTATCTCTGAATGAATGAAGATGACTCAATATCATATAATTAATGGTCAAAAGTGTCCATCACGTAATTCGAGAACCTCGTCTGGATGATGAAAGATTGGAACACAAGTTTCTAGCATATGTCCATGCGGCACGATCTTTGTAATTTGTTTTTGGGTTTTATAATTCTCATTTAACATAAGAATTACAATTTTCCTACACATTCTTCAATTTTCGTGCTGACATAGATTCTACATATAATTTTTTCTAACACATGGGTCCCACATGCTTTTTATCTCTACAACATGAGATTTCAATTCTCTTTCAACATGAGAATTATAAAATTCTTTCTTTTTAGTAGATAGTTCATTTATTTTGTAGTTGTATTTCTATTTTAGACTATGGCCCATGTAACACCCTGGTATTCTATAACAGTGAGTGGTGTGTACACGACATATTAAGGAAACAAATAGGATATAAGTAGGGGTGGCAAATCGTGTTCATGAGTCGAGTTTGGGTCGACCTGTGTCTGACACGAACACGAATAGACTCAACCCGAACACGACATGATTAAAAATTCGTGTTATAAAACTCAACCCGCACACGATCCATTTATAAACGAGTTGACACGATACAACCCGAATTTGAGTGTAACATGTATTTACCCGACACGACCCGACCCAACCCGACACGTAATGTTATAAAATGTCATAGAAAATCATGTGAATTGAACGTGTTTGAATTAGTTGTTTTAGTATTTTAGTCATCAGCAAAGATAATACCTTTAGCAAAAATAGATATTAATAAACTATGAGACATGTCTCGGCCCTGTCTTAATCTGCGCAATTTTAATATTAAAATTCTCAAAAATAAACCAACAGCACCAAAGCCACATCCTTTGAGAACCATACAAGTGGGTTTCAGAAAAACCGATTCACAAATTAATATGTATCCCTCGTTCAAAGCCAGACAATAAAGACACAGAATAACTAATCGAAGATACTAAGTAATCCTGAGCTTTTGGCGTTCCAGTCCGTTTTATCAAGAATGGTAAAAATTTCTTCATGATCAAAATCTTTAATTGGCAACGCCTGCGAAGAGAAAACTTCCATACTTCAACATGCTGCAAACGAATGAAAGCAAGCAGTTCAAATCATATTACTTCCAATAGACAGAAAGAGAGACCGAGAAGTCGAGAACTATAAGTTTCTTGAGATCTTCAATCCAGCAAAAGTGTATTACTAGCTAAGAACAACAATAAAAAGCTAAGGGCCTAACCAAGCTGTCCCAAGAAGGCAAAGTAATATACAGCTTTTCCGAAAATGTGTAATTTGCGCCAGATTCACTACAAGTGGAGTTAAATTGAGAGAGAGGCAGGGCAGAGAGCTGCGCTGGAGCTTGGAGGGGAGTTAGATTCATATCTAGGTTTTCTTTTTCCTTTTATACTATGAAATAAAATGAGTATTTTACGGGTCAAAGTGGGTTCACGGGTTAACCCGTGACCCGACACGATTTTTTCGTGTTATTTTTTTCTCAACCCGAACACAATCCATTTATTAAACGGGTTGACTCATACACAAAAATTTCATGTCGGGTCCGAGTCGGGTTCGCGGGGTCGAGTCACAAATTGTATAAGACGAGAATAACAAAATCCAAATAGCTTAGAATCTCTAAGAATCTAACCAAAGTTCTTTCGGTCACTCTTTTGTCTGCACAATAAGAGAGAAATTATGTATCTGATCAACTAGCTACCTTGCTATTACCAAGGTTATTTATATATATATATATAAAAATTAAATTCACAGACCAGTTGCCTGTTTCGATGTTGTTCTATCTTTGGATTTATTTCAAGTAGAATCTTTAATAATTATATTAAGGATGCAAAAAAAGCAAAATTTGAGCCTAGCTATAAATATCAAATAGGAAATAGATAGACAAACTAAGTGAATAAAGTCTTATATTTTCCCAAAATAAAAACTAGTGAAAAGTGTGTGTCATTTTAAATGGCACAAATTATATCATTTAAAATGATACACATTTTTCCTTAAAAACTAATTGAAAATATATCAATATCTTGGCACCCACGAAATGGAGAATTAACAAGAGACCAATGTAGTTCATTCAACGTACTAACAACCAAAAGAAAGAATCACACACACATATATAAAGTTGAAAAATAAAAAGTGGTGTGTTACACGGGGTCAATGCATATTTTTTTTTTTTTTAAAATTACATTAAACAATGTCATTTTATTTAAAAAAAATGCTTGCAAACCTAAATGTAATTGTTCTCTTCTTTCCCAACGACCTAAATGTCTTCAATCTTCACCTTGTTGTCGTACGTTTTCAAGAACTTATAATCGATCAGTCATCGATGTATGGGGTGCAATGATCGACTAGAAAAGGTAAGAATTTTACCCATTCAGATGGAATTCTTACGGGTACATGCAATTGTGCAAGTTGAAAACAAAATCTCATTCTTACTTCTTTTAAATTTTCCTTTTTAAATTTTCCTTTCTCAGGGACCTTCTCAAAAGAGGCAGAAGTCATAGGAGATGATGGTGGAAGCTTTTTTCTAGTTAAGACCCACACAAGCTAACTTTAATTGATCCAATAAGGTAGGTATTGCATCTCATTGAATCTTTGCCTACTGATTATTTAAGAAAGGAGGAAATAAATAAATTTTCTTCCTTTTTAGGTGCTGTATTACTGTTATTAAGGTAGAAGAAAGGTGCACTAAACAAGAGTTAAAATTGGATAATTTGATAAAAGATTGTCTATCTAATCAACAAGCCACTGGTTACTCCCTTTTTGTGTGACATTTTTATCCTTCTTTCAAGAGAAAGAGGTGTCAGTCCAAATACTGGAAAATCAATGCACTACAAGGGTTCTTTCTTCCATCGAATTAGAAAAGGCTCCTTTGTGCAGGTATGTTGTGTATTTATTCTTATATCTAGATTGTTCTAAGGCAGTGTTCTATATATCTCTTCTCAGTATGGTTGAACATGGCTTAGTAGTGGTCCTTGTTACCATTGTTTATGTTGTAGGATAAAGGGCTGTAGGAATGCCAACTAGTATTAGGGGCTTTCAAGTTTCTATATATATATATACACTTAGTATTTTACAGTACCTTTCCTACAAGTTTGTAAAAATATTTCTTTGTAACCGTCTTGAATCTCAATCCTCAGTAATAATGTTGAAAACATATAACACGTTGATGTAGTATTTTCTATAATGAACGAGATTAGAATTTTGTAATTGCATCAAATTTATATATTACTTTAGTTGTGATTTTTTTTATTATATGGATAGAGATCAAAATTTTCTGCAAGTTATATGTTAAGTGTTGTTCTTTGTTTTATTATGTTGAGCATCATGTAGCAAGGCCTTAGACAACTATAGAATGATGAGAATCATCTACATCATCCTCATCTAAGTTCAATTCATTTACAATAACACATTATATGTAAGTTAATATATAATATAACGTGATCAAATCATCAAATTAAATAATAGAATTATAATCATCAAGAAACATACCAATACTATCTCTAATTGTTTATTAAGCGATGAAGAGGCAAGATCATTGAGGAATAATGCCATTGAAACAATTAGAGATAGTATTGGTATGTTTCTTGATGATTATAATTCTATTATTTAATTTGATGATTTGATCACGTTATATTATATATTAACTTACATATAATGTGTTATTGTAAATGAATTGAACTTAGATGAGGATGATGTAGATGATGAACGTCATATAGCCATTGTACCCCAAAATGAAAGCAATGTTCCTCAAGGTTTGGACGACAATGGTGGAGAAGGACAAGGAGGGCCTGAGTTTGATGATTTAACTTTTCATTAACTCCACTAGAATATGTGTTTTATACTTTGATATTTTGATGCTTTAATTAGGTTGTGTAATATTGACTTATGGATGTA